CTGCAAATTATTTCCTTTCGTTTCCCCAAACCTCGGTCAACATGCTGACTGCCATTGCACTCATGTTTGACGGTTTGGGTTGGCAATGCCTGCACGGACCCATCAAGGGCAATCACTTCCGCAAACAACGATGATACAGGCTGCTGCGAACACGTGCCAACGATAGCTATAATAACTCGGATGCCATCCGTGCGACCAAATACTACGCCCTCTGAACAACAAACGGCTGCCGGGCTCATCTGCCTGGGTGCCACCGTCGACGTGCAACGGCAAACGAACAAAAACCTAAACTGACATCGCAAAGTATAGGAACACGGTGGTGCAACGATCTGCGCTCATCCATCGTGAAGTTCACTAGGTGGTAGTCCTGTAGCGGTCTCCAATGGACCACGCCGATGTCTCGTGCACGCTTCCAGCCTCTGTTCAACACTTGACATATGCGTTGGGCCACATTGGAAAAGGGGCGCTCGAATTGAGGACCGGCCAACGCAATTTCCCCGTTGGCACCATCCGCTGTAGGTTGGCCATCGGCGGCTATTGCAACTCTGCGCGGCCCAGCTTGGAGCTGCATCTGCGGCGCCCCTTCCCCGCGTTGGCCTGGCAATTCCTCCAATTCATGTTCGACCGACCGACGTCGCTCCGGTGCAGCGCCGTAATTGGCGACGTGGCCTGACGGGCAATAGTAGTGCCGCTGTACAAAAAAATGTGCCACGTGCAGTGCAGACGCGCTGCTCGAGCTCTGGATACATCTTCAACTAATCCAGAAACGAGCAGCATGTGTCACGCAATTCTCGCCAGGTCCTCCCCGCTCCTCTCCCCTTCACCTCCTCCTCCCCCGCCTTCTTGAGAGGGGGACTGCTGGACTGCCGTCTGCAGTGCCGATGTCTCCTCAGAGCTCCCAGGTGTCTCTGGGTTGCGCGCCACAAAAGCGGGGCAGGGACTCGAAACCTTGTCCAAAATCGTGAGCCCACGGCACGGCGGGCCTGGATGAGGCGCTTGCCTAGCAGGCGGGCCGTGAGGCAGTTCTTCTCGGCAAACAATGTTTGGTGCACCCTTTCATAATCGAAGTCTCCGCCACCCCGCGCGGGGCCATGAGTGGTAGCAGGCGGGCCGCGAGGCAGTGGGCGGCGCCTGCGGAATCGCCGCGGCTCCAGGCTCCGCGAGGCGGGCCCCGACGCGTGGGGAGTCCACGGGGGGGGGGCAACCCCGACGTGCCGACCTGCCGTGCCAACGCCGAACTCTTCTGGTACCCCCGAGGGCAAGCGGGGACAAACGGGAGGAGGGGAGAGGGGGAGCGGAGCGAGAGAGGCCGCGGCACCAGAAGGCAGAGGAGAGCAGGGGAGGAGAAATGGCGGCAGGACGCAGGGATACGCAGCGCAGAGAGCAGCTATGGGGGTAATGGTGGACTTCTTGAAAGACCCAGGAACAGCACAACCCCGTTCTGAACTCTTGAAAGACCCCGCAGCAACACAGAGATGTTTGAACTCCTCAAAGGCCCAGTAGCATCACAACGACCGCCCAGGATCTAGCAGCTTCGATCAAGGAGGTTGAGAGCTGGGACATCGAACATGCATGCGAATTCATCCTGTTTTGCAAATCGACAGTACTTGCCAAAGGACGACCAACAGGTTGACTGTTTCGCTTCGGAGTCCCGAGTTTCGACTCATCATCGTGGGGGCCCTGACTCAAGTCCTAGATGTGCGCCGCGAATAGTAGGAAAGCACCTCCGACGTTCACGGAACGAGAGTTGCAAGCCTGGGTGGAAAAACTCTTTGAGGACGAGCGTTGAGGGATGACCGTGCGGGCCTGGCTGGAGGGATTCTTGGAGGAGCCGCAATGATGAGCGACGCCCGCGCTTCAAACGTGACGGGGAGCGATAGGGGGGCGGACGGCTTCACGGGGGGAGCATCGCGCTGGGATCGTCGATGCGTCACCGATAGATCGGCGATGGGCCCCCAATATGTTCCCCCTTCTGCGCCCATCCCCTGGCCATTGCTCCTGACCCCTCCCCCGTCCCCCCCTCTTCGTCAGAGGCGCTCGGGGGGGCGGGACTCCATCTTGATGGACCACCGCGCGGTCTCCGCCTTGATGCCGCTGGTGATGTAGATCGTGCGGCCCGCCATCGCGGCCACGGGCCACGGGCGGCAGGGGCGGAGGGCGGGGCAGGGGAGGGAACGGAGGAGATGGAGAAGGGGCGGGGACGGGGACGGGGGGGAGGGGAGGAGAGGGGGAACGGAGAATGATGATGATGGTGAAGATGATGAAAATGATGGTGAAGATGATGATGATGATGATGATGATGATGAAGAAGAAGAAGATGATGATGATGATACTGCTGATGATCATGCTGATGATGACAAGGGTAATGGTTACCAGATGATGATGGTAATGGTGGTGATGCGAATAATGACGATGCTGCTGATGCTGATGATGATGCTGATGACAAGATGATGGCAACATGGTGATGGCGATGATGATGGTGATGATGATGATGCTGGCACTGATGATGAATTTGACGATGATGTTGATGCTGGTGATGCTGATGATGATGCCATTGATGCGTATGCTGGTGATGCTGATACTGATGGTGATAATGATGATGTTGGTGCTGGTGATGCTGAAGATGGTAATGATAATGGTGATGATGGCGATTGTGATGATGAAGATAAGAAGATGATGGTTTTGACGATTATGACGATGATGATGATGATAATGATGATGATGATGATGGTGGTGCTGCTGCTGCATATGATGATGACTATGATGGCAATGATGATAATGATAACGGTGGTGATGATGATAGTGATGAGTCTTATGATGATGATGGCGATGGCGATGATGATCATGACGATGACGATGACGATGCGGATGACGATGATGGTGATGATGATGATGCTTATGATGCTCATGATGCAGATGATGATGATGATGATGATGATGATGATGATGATGATGATGATGATGAGGCTGATGCTGATAACGATGATGTTGATTATGATGCTGGTGATGATGCTGATGCTGCGGATAATTGGTGTGATGATGACGACGATGATGATGATGAAGATGATGATGATGATGGCGATAGTGATGATTATCATGGGACTGATGATGGCGACGATGATGACGATGCTGATGATGATGATGATGATGATGATGATGATGATGATGATGATGATGATGATGATGACGGTGACGATGCCGATGACGATGCTGATGATGATGAGGAGGAGGAGGATGCGGATGATGAGGATGATGAGGGTGATGAGGGTGATGCTGCTGCTGATGATGCTGCTGCTGCTGCTGCTGATGATGATGATGATGATGATGATAATGAGGATGATGAGGATGGTGGTGATGATAAGGACGGGCGTGAGAGCCTGCTGACCCCGACGGGAGACCGCTGACGGCCGCCCTGGGGCCGTCAGCCGAGGCTTCGAGTTGCGTCCAGCGGGTCGCAAGCCAGGCAGGCCCACGGCTCGGCAGGCGTGCGACCGGCTCGGGCGGCCCCGCCTGGCCAGCGCCAAGGCCGCCCCCGACGGCCGCGTCGGGCCGCCTGGCTGCACGCCTCGTCGCGGGGGGGGGGGGCTGCAAATCATGGCCCGAGGCATGTGGGCGGACTACACCCTGCGAAATGCTTAAGAAATCATGGGTTAAGAAATTCATAATCTCAGAAATTGAATAAAAACCCAACATTTCCACTCAAATCTCAGGATTTACATTAAAAAGTTAAGAATAATCGAGACCCTGGCCAAAAAAATAGGTTTTCTTAAGCATCGCCTAAGGTGTAGGGGCCATGAACTCTGGGGAGATATCATGGCCCCCGCCATGAGATGCCCCCCCCCCCCCCTTAGTCATCACCCCCTTCCTGGCCGCCCCCGAGATGCAGCGAGGGAGCCTGGAATGGATCCGCGCCCGGGGCCACCGGACGGTCCCTACAAGGCATGCCGCGGTCTGCCCGCGTGGTACGTACTCGTACTGAGTAGTTCTAGAAGGGGGAGAGGGGGACGGGGAAAAAGGAGGGTAGACGGATAGAGAAACAGGAGGAGAGAGGAGGAGCAGGAGGAGGAACGAGGAGAAGGGGGAGGAGGAGCAGGAGGAGGAGGAGGAGGAGGAGCGAGGGAGGGGGGGAAGGGAGAGCTGGTGGAGGAGAGAAGAGGAGGGAGAGGCGAGAGGAAGAGGAGACAGGAGGGAGGAGGGAGGAGGGAGGGGGGGAGGGGCGGGTGGAGCCTTGAGCCAGGCTCCTCGGGCGGGCGGAGGGCCCTGGAGCGGAAGCGGCCCGCGCGGTGATGGAGGCGATCCCTCCTGCTCGGCTGCGCCCTGGTGATGCGAAGATCCCCTGAAAAAGAGGACCGCTAGTGGTCAAAACAGGGTGACGGCACATCTCGAGGCTGCCCATTCCTCGTCCTTCCCCGGGATGCTGGAATGGTGTTGTCGTGATTCGCGCGCTGCCTCCACCTCCGTCAGTCCTCTTTCATACTTCCCGTTTCGCTACCCAGTCCCCCTCTCCCCACGCCTTCCCCCTGCCACACCCAAACTAACTCATACTCAGACTCCCTGACACCCGGACCCACTCGTGCTCAGACTCTCTCATATTCAAGCTCAGACTCACTGACAGACTCATTCACAACCCTACTGCATCACACTTCAGACTCAGACACGCTCGCACTCAGACCCACTAGTAGTTGGATGATCCACACTCAGACCACACACACATCCAGTGGTAGTCAGACACACGCATGTTCAGAGTCACTCATATCCAGACCGCTCACAGTCATATTAATCATAGCCACACATACACATAGACCGCTCACAATCTGATCAGACTCACTCATACCCAAACTCACACGCAGAAACACCCATATTTTGTGACTCACGCTCCAACCCGCTCTTGCTCGCTCCTAATGCGCACACTCGCTTATGATCACCGCAGTAAAGCACGCATAGCACCTGGGCACCCCCAAGAAGAGCAGCTATGAGGTATTACCCTTGCCCATCGTTTTGTTTTTTTCAGGCTGCACTAAGGGTGTTCCTTCGCCGGTGCGCTCTTCATTTAACCGCCTCGAGTACGCGACAGCAGCTGCTACGGATCACTTCAGCACTCAGAGCGCCACTCGCGAAAGCAATGGCGACCTCAGCTGCTACAGTAGACCCGCACAACTCAGCCTGCATGTAAGTGACGTCACCAAGAACATTTGATCCAGCGCAAACTCGTACCCATGCTGGTGACCCATGGCGCTCGTAGCGAAAAGCACCTAATAGTACCCACCCGTAGGATGCTACAGAACTCCGCCGTCCACCATCGAAAACCACCTTGATGCACATAGGCAGGGTCATGGCAATGTCATCGTTGAACTCGATATGGCGGGTGTTTTGCTCCAGTGCCTTCGTCGCCATAGCGTCGGCCTCCTTGTTGAGTTCTCTGTACACGTGTCTACACCAGGGAAGATGTCGCAGTCGCGGAAAAATGTGCTCGCTCGTCCAGGATGTGTGCAAGATGTCCATGATGTTTGATACAGCTGGAATGAAGCGCCAAGTATCCACCTGGGCCGTGCCGTTGATCCACGTGACAACCACAGCCGAGTCCCCTAATATCTCTATCGGCACTGCTTGGTTCAGTGGCGTCCCCCACTGCACTGGGAGGTCAATCACGACCCGCGCTCTCTTGCGAGCAAATTTGGATTCAGGTGGTTCACGCTGTTCTTTCAAACTGCGCTGGCAACCAATCATCGCGAAAGCGGATTCTATGAACGCCGGCCTCGTGGAGGACCAATATTTTGCAGAAGTGCGATGCACCCAGTGTTGGCCATAGTGGTACACGAGAGGGGAGTCCCATTTCCGATGAAGGCCTCTCCAATCGGAAGCATGCCGCCACCTGCCTGCGTCAGCTCGCTCACGTTGGCCATCGCGCTGACGCTGCCTCCACCAGGTCGTGTCACGCCACGTGATGGGGTCGGCTATGAAGATGGGGAGTCGCTGAGCGTGGCTGGCACCCACCGTCGCGGCGAACCTGTGGAGGTGCCCATTCGCGCCCAGATTGTGGGGTTGTCTCGAGCGAGGCGCTAGTTTGGCACCTCATAATCCAGCCTCTTGAGGGCCTCATGATCACAGCAATGCGTATAGCAAACGCAACATTTGGACAACCCAAAAGGGAGCCGCCAGGAATATTACCCACCGGTCGAAAGAATGGATAGGAGCATGCCCGCCTCCTGAAGACGAAGGTAGAAGGAACACCGCTCGACACTTGAAGTAAGAAGGTGCCTAGTTTGGATCCTCAAGATCCAAAAAGACATACGTTCACCGACCGATGGGTACGTGTGCCCGTGTGCGCCCATATTGTGGAGAGCCTCGACCGAAACGCGAATTTTGCACCGCCAACTCCTTTCTGTCGAGAGCCTCATCACAACCACGGAATACCTAGCATAACACTTGGGCACCCCATCGGAGGAACCGCCAGGGGGTATTACACTTACCCGTCCGCGCCCAGATTGCGGGGTGTCTCGAACGAGGCGAGTGTGTGGCACCTCCGTTTCCTGTCTCTCGAGAGCCTCACTAGCACAGCGATATAGCAGCATACCACTCGGGCCCCCCAAGGAGGAGCAGGCAGGGAGTAATACGCATGCCCGTTCGCGCCCAGCTTGCGGGGATGTTTCGAGCGCGGCGCGTGTTTGGCACCTCCGACTCCAGCCTCTCGAGGGCCTCAGGCTCACCGCGGTGCAGCAGGCACAGCATCCGGCCATCCGAAGGTGGAGCCGTCCGCGGTTTCTACCCTTGCCCGTTCGCGGCCCGATTGTGGGGCTGTCTTCGGCGAGTCGCTGGTGTGGACATCCTCGGTTCCTCTTGTGCCAGGGCCCCGCGCTTGCTGCGACGTGGCAAGCATCACACTTGGGCGCCCCAAGAGGGAGCCGCCGGGGGGTAGCATACGGCGGCAGAGAGAAGGCCACATTCGGCGGCAGAAAGAAGCAGAGAGGAGCGCTCACACTCAGACTCGCACATACTCATCTTGCTCGGCTTTCGATGTCACGCCAAGGTATTCCCAGATGGCAGTATCAGAACATGAGATGCGCATTTGGAGAGCCCCGCATCGACTAAACTTTGCTGAGTTGAGTTCGCTGCTGCTCCTGGCTGGTGCTAGCTTTCGCCACAATCAGCGGCTCGTCAGGCTTGGGCCAGGATTGGCTGCGAATGCGCACCCTACCTGCAAAGAGGTAGTCTACTCTGTGTAAGCAAATCAACCTGGTGAAGGACACAACCCTATGCAGCTAGAAGTATCGTAGGACGTGGCCCTCTCCTCGTATGTAGCACGCCGCGAGAGGGATGGGGCCCGGGGCAGTGCGAACGGAGGCCACAGAACGCCGAAACGGGCGGGGCGGCGGCATGCCAACTTTGCCACTGGGACCCAAGGTGGAGAGCCATACGGGGCCACGAGACGTGTGATGGGTGCACCGAAGTGGGCGGGGCGGCGGCATGCACACTGTCGCTGAGGCTTCAGGTGGAACTCCAATGTGGCCACGAAGCGTGTGAGGCGGTGGTAACCAACCTTTGCCACTAGGGCCTCAGGCCACGAGGAGGCGGCATGCAAACTTTGCCACTGTGGCCTTGGGTCACCGACCGCGTTCCAGTACTCGCAAAGTGTCTACTCGCAAACGTCCGAAGAACACCTGTCTGCCTTGATGTAGTGCCCGGCGGGGGATCCAGGCCATTTGCGAGTAGTTACTCTGCGAGTAGTGGAACGCGCTCGTCGATTGGGTGAAGCTCCATGCCTGGTATGTGGCCAAGCGTGTGAGGGGTGTGCCGATGTTGACGCGGGGATGGCGGAGGCCAGGAGGGGAGCGAGGCGGCGAAGGAGGCAGAGGAGGAAGGCGAGGTGGAGCGCGCTCTGCAGAGTCGAAGCGAGGGCCGGCAATCCGAGGACGGCTGGGATGTGCAAAGGGATCTGCCCTTCACAGGAGCGCCCCTCTCCTCCTCTCTCCGATCTCTCCCCCTTCCGAAGAACTGGTCTCGAGCGGGTGGTCGCTCCCGTGATGAGGGGAACAAGCAACGACGTAAACACTGTGGGTGCCACGACAATGGACACCCTAACAATCCTATCATTGAATTTAAAATGTGTTGAAAATATCGGAAACATGTTCTATACATGTTTGAAACATGTGTTTTACATGCTGAAGCCATTTTTAACACAAGACATCTGGAAATGATTTGGCAACATGCTTCCTCTCCATTGATCGTCCTCCACAACATAAACATAACAGCTCGAAGGTCCTCGCGGGCTTCTCGGACCAGCGCTGGACCTCCTCCCTGGCGCTCGGAGCGCGCCAGTGGTGGCGCCGGAGGCGCCGCCAAGGGGCTCCAGCGCAGATCCGAGCAATCCGCGCGGACCTCTGAATTGTTATGCTAATGCCTTTGCCGGTTCCCCCGGCAAGGATGAATTTGGACGCCCGAAATGGGTACGGGAAAAATGGGCACAATGCCGAACACCAAATGTTGTCGAACACCGACAGCGGCCGCTATTGGGCAGGCGGCTGTCTTCAATGGACACGCTGCGGCGCGGACAAGGAGTCCTGTTCAAAATGAATAAGAATTGTTGTCAGTCTTTGTGCCCATTCTTTCCGTACCAATTTCGGTCGTCCCGACGACGTGATTTTTGTCGCAATGTCGACCCCTAGAGTTAGGTCGGGCGTGTCCCCCTACAGGCGGGTTTTGGACGAAAACTAACAATACCCCCAAAATACTCAAAAATATTCCAACCAACAAAAACTCACAAAATCGTCCCTGACTATTTCTTAATACTTTTTGTTTGATATTCCTCCTGTAGGGGGACGGGCACGACTTAACCCTAGAGGTCTGGACCCCTTCCCCGGGACAGGTTCTTCATCCTGAGTCGTGTTTGACGGCCCCGAGGCCCGGTAAGGGCCCCTGGACGCCGAAAATAGCGGAACACCTCCCGTCGTGTTTTTTTCGCAGCGCGAGGGGGTCTGGGCCAGGGATTAATGCTCCACTCTCATCATCAGGTCCACTCTCATCAGGGCAACTATCGGGAGCTGCCGGCGGCTGGGGGGCATCTGTTTTGGGCGGTTTGGTGCAAAACCTATCGAACTCCCCCGGGGCACACACCCCCTTGCGGGATACCGAGTCTTTGCTAGTTCCCCTGGCAAGGATGAATGCCTCTCCATATACCTCTCATCATGTCTCTCCTGGCTCGGCTGGTGGCCGCGCTCCCGGACCCCCCAGGCCCCCAGGGGGCGGATGGGCGAGCAGCGGGCAGCAGAAGAAATAATTGCATACATATCCGACGGGAACAGACAGGGCCCCCCCCCGCAGCGAACCGCTTCTCGGCGAGAACCTCCTTTGGGAAAAGGCTGGGGGGGAGCCCACAAAAGGCTCGCGGCCAAAACGGGGGGAGGTGCCGCTTCGAGCCTGGGAACAACGCCTCCCCAGGGGAGGGGCGACCAGCTCGCCCGCTATCGGAAATCCCCGCCGAAGGCAATTCGATAAGAAAGCCCTCATGAGCAACACGCCACAGCCGCCAGCTCCCCAAGGGGTCAGCGGTGTGGCGTAAGCCCATAAACATAAGCTTTCGGACATCCCCCCGAAGGCACCCTCCTCACTCTGATCTGCAGCTGCTGGGTGCTGCGTGTTTCCCTACATGCCTATACGAGGCCTCAGATCTATCGTCGTCGTCGTCGTCGTCGTCGTCGTCGTCGTCGTCGTCGTCGTCGTCGTCGTCGTCGTCCCCCTTCGGGGTCGGCGGCGCTGGCTGCAAGGCCTTCCCAATATGCACTTTCGGAAACGAGGGAGGAAGGGATCGCAAAAATCCGATGCCTTCGTCTTTCAACTGCGCTCGACGGTGTCCCCCGGAATCCCCGACCCTCTCCCTGGGGCTGGCGAGGGCCCGCCCACCCCGGCGCCCGCAAGCTGTGCAAGAGGTCCGCCTTGTGTTGGTCGATCCTCCGAGCTAGGAGGTCTGGGAGGAGGAGGAGGAGGAGGAGGAGGAGGAGGAGGAGGAGGAGGATGCGGAGGCGGAGGCGGATGCGGATGCGGAGGAGGAGGAGGAGGAGGAGGAGGAGGAGGCGAATGCGGAGGAGGAGGAGGACGAGGAGGGAGGAGGAGGAGGAGGAGGACGAGGAGGCGGAGGAGGAGGGGAGAGGAAGAGGAAGAGGAAGAGGAGGAGGGGAGAGGAGGAGAGGAAGAGGAGGGAGGAAGAGAAGGAGGAGGAGGAAGCGGAGGAGGAGGAGGAGGAGGAGGAGGAGGCCCCCTCGGCGGCTCGGTGGCCTCCCTCTTGGGCGGACCCGAGCGGACGGTCGGGCCCCGTCCCGCGGCTATGCTCCGCAGAGGAAGGGCACCCTGCCGTCATCCGTGCTGGCCTCTTCTCGCAACATGGGCCCGGCAGGCTGCCGCCATCCCGACCGCGGTGGCTGGGCTGCCTGGCCCCCCGGCACCCCTCTGGATGATGGGGCGGTGGTCCTCCTCCATGGACCTCCCGCTCCCTCCTCCTCCTCCTCCTCCTCCTCCTCCCTCCTCCTCCTTCTCTTCCTCCTCCTCCTCCTCCTCCTCCTCCTCCTCCCCCTCCCCCTCCTCCTCCTCCTCCTCCTCCTCCTCCTCCTCCTCCTCCTCCTCCTCGTCCTCGTCCTCGTCCTCTTCCTCCGTCTCTTCTTTTCTCTTCCTTCCTTTCTCCCTGCCAGAAGCAGGCCCGCAGGCGAGAAAAAGGCATAGAACATGTTGTAGAAGCAGCGCGCGCGGGGACGCTCACCCAGAAGCTATGTAACCTCGACTCGCGGCACCTCGAACGCGCCGCCAGGTGGCTCTTCTCTTAGCGAAGAAGAAGAAGGATGATAGTAAGACGAAGAAGCAGAAGAAGAAAAGGAACAGACAACTCCACGAGCATGATTTCTCTACCTCTTGAGAAAATCTGATTGCGCAATTGTTTGGTACTCGAGGGAAGCGTCCGGCGCGATTGCCCGAGCGGGCAGAAACTCTCGACCTCGGCGTCGCTCGCAAGGCCGAGGGCGGGGAACGCAAGGGTCTGGGGCCCCTCTAGGGGCCCAGATTGGGCTGACGCTGGCGCGTTCCCCAGAGCTGCCGACCGCGGCCTCCCGATTCGATTTCAATCGATCGAGATGCCGGCCAGCGCCGTCGTAAGCCTGCACGTAAGACTCCGCACTCATCCTTCTGAGAGGAGCCCGCGGCGTCCTCGGCGGCCCCGCGGGGCTATCTAGAGGAAATAGGGTAAGCATAAGTTCTCGAAGGTCCGCGCGGATTTCTTGGATCGGCGCTGGACCCCTCCCCCAATGGCGCGCCGAGCGCGCCAGGGGCGATGCTGGAGGCGCCGTGAGGGCGGCCCCACGCCGATCCGAGACACCCGCCCGGACCTCAGAGAAATCGTGCCTGTGGGGGGGGGTTTGTTGCGGGCGGGCGATGCACGGCGCTGCGTCACAGACGGGCGATGCACACCTGAAGCACCCCGGCCGGGCCCGTGACCGCGCGTGGCGCCGTATACATACCTACGCGTCGGCGCGATCCACGCCATTCTGGCGGCCGCACCGGCGCCGGCAGCGCGCGGCTTGCCGCCAACTACTCGTCCAGGACAGGCTTCAGGAAGACAGTGCCACGGTTGCCGCTGACCGTGGCGAAACCGACGGCGCCGTCCTTCTCGGCCCGCATCCTGACCCGCATGACGCCTGCGGCCTTCTCGGGCACTGGCGTCTCCAGTGCCTCGATTAGCTCGCCAGCCTCCAGCTTGCGCACGATCTTGGCCTCCTTGATGTCCAGCCTGTCGTTTAGCACCGTGCTCAGCGCACACTTGTACTGAGGGGACCATCGCAGGAGGGAGCTGCCAGAGAGCGTCAACCACCCCTCGGCACTGTCCGCTAGGGACCGGCCTCTGAGGCGGCTCAGGCCCTGCCTGGTGTCGCTCTTGGGCCCCTCGACCACCTCGACCACCTCTCCGGCCTCCAGCGTCCGGATGGCAGAGCTCCCGGCGGCGAGCTTGGCCTCGAGCACGAGGCTCTCCTTGCACACTCGAAGGTTCTCGGACTCCTCGGTGTAGTCCGTCCCCTGGTTGCCCCTCATCGTGACCCAGCCCTCCTTTCCGTCGAGGCTGGCTCTCGCCCTGATCCGCGAGAGGGACCGCTTGTCGTCCTCCGTCGGCCCCTCGAGCACCTCCAGCGTCTCGCCGACGTCGAGCTTGCGTATGGCCTTGCCAGTCGCGATGTCGAAGTTGGTGGTGATGGCGATGCTCTGCCTGCACACCAGCAGCTTGGATGGCTCTAGTAGGACTGTTCCATGCGGGTCCGTCAGCGTTGCCCAACCTGACTTGCCGTCCTTCTTGGCCTTTATCCTGACCCGCTGCAGCTCCACGTCCGGCTCCCTGCGGGGGCCCTCCAAAACCTCCACGACCTCGCCGGCCTGCAACGTCCTTACCTCGGACTGCTCGCTGCTGGAGCTGGCGAAGGCCGACTGGAGGGCCACCTCCTCCTGGCACCAGTAGTAAGGCTTCGCGGCCTTCACCATGTAGGCCGTACCTTGGTTGCCCCGCAGCGTGGCCCAACCCTCTTTCTGGTCCGAGATAGCTCTACATCTCACCCGCGCGATGCCGTCCTTGTCGGCCTTGTCGGCCTCGATGACCTCGACGAGCTCGCCAACGGCGAGCTTCCTGATAGTCTTGCTGTCTTTCACCTCGAAAGCGGTAGTGATGGCAATGTCCTTTGATTAGCAATTAAAGGCCATTTTACCTTTTGGGACCGGATCTGAGTTTTGGGAGGCGTAAGACTCGGGTACGGGGGACTCGGGCTGGCCTGACTGGGGCCATCATAAAAATGACGAGGCCCAACCTGAAATTTGGCGCGAACTCCCGCTGCAAACATCCCACGAAAACTGGACCGTCAAAATCCAAGACGCGCTCGTCAAAAACGTCGGTACACCCGAGTTCCGGCTTACTCGAGTCTTACGTTTCCCCGATCAGTTGATGCCCAAAACATTCGGCAGAAGGGGCCTTTTCAGCCGGTGCAGCCAAACCAGCCCACCCGGATCTGTTGCCTCTGATGCAAAGACGGGGACCCAAGTTAGGCGACGTCTTCATTAACAAGCCTCTAACTTATCCCTATCCCTAAGATGGGCGAGCAGAAAGCGATGACGATCTCAGGGAACAGCCCTCAGAGACTGAGGGAATCCTTAAGATCGGCATCAAGGTGAGGCGATGCCAAGCATAGGGATAGGGATAGGCTTGTGGACGTCATCACAATGGACACTCTCACAATCCTACCACTGATTGAATTAAAGATATGTTGAAAAAGTGTGTACACATGTTCTAAACAAGTTTCAAACATGCTTTAACATATTTAAAACATGTTTGAAACATCTTTTAGACATCTGGCAATTATTTGGCAGCATGCTTCCTCTCCATTAATCGGCTTCCACAAAGGTAGGCTTCAAACTTGTACTTCCTTGTTTTACCAAGGTTCTTTGTATCCATTCTCGATGATCCTTCACGCACCTCCTGAACTCCTGGAGCATCTCCAGCAGCGTGAGCCTCGTGACGCCGCCAGCGTACCCCTCGAGCCCCAGGTCCAGCTGCGCGGCCCTCAAGCCGTGGTCTGGGATGCCGCTGACGAACCTGCGCAACTCCTAGAGGAAGAACAATACAGCATAAACATGAATGGGAACCGCGCGTACAAACAGTGGGATATCTGGGCCAGGTCCCATGGGGCATCGCGGCAACGCCACTAGACGACGTACAGTACATGATTGTCTGGCTGGTTCTCCAGGCGACAGGTGTCGAGCAACACATATATATAGATATATACATATATATATATATATATATATATATTATATATATATATATATATATATATCCGTATAGATACACAATGTTTGGGCCGCCATTTGCCACGAACTGGAGGGCAAATAAACATAGTACGTGTAGTGGACATGTTTCTGGCCCCGAACTTTCAACGGTCCACGCGGATGTCTTGGATCTGTGCTGGACCCCCCTCCCTGGCGCGCGGAGCGCGCCTGGAACGGCGCGGGAGGCGCCGCCAAAGGAGCCCAGCGCCGACCCGCGACACCCGCACTGAGCCCCGACAGTGTATGTGCACGTATGTAGTAGATTCGCCTTTAAACTCCTCCAGCGGCACGTCTTGGCCACCCTTGGACAACTCCGCGAAAACCTCGTCTGGCTTCCTGCCAGCCTTCCGGATGTGCAGCTGCATGGCGCCCGCAACCGCTGCGTGGGCGTCGCTGGCGGCCTGCTTCCTGGCACGCTGCAGCCCCAGCTGCTGCGCCCTGCACTTGCTCTCCAGGGCCCCGACCCGAACCTTCAGCTTGACCAGCACCGCGCGGGCCTCCTTGAGCGGCCCGTCCGCCGCCGCCTTGAGCCCGTCCATGCTGGCCTTGATCTTGGACCCAGCCTCGTCCACGCCCTGGAGCGCCTGGAGCAACAAAAGACTGCACTGACATAAACTTTCGAAGGTCCGGGCGGATTTCTTGGACCACACAGTGACGAAGAGGGGGAGGAGGAGGAGGGGGAGGAGGAGGAGGAGGAGGAGGAGGAGGAGGAGGAGGAGGAGGAGGAGGAGGAGGAGGGGGGAGGAGGAGGAGGGAGGAGGAGGAGGAGGAGGAGGAGGAGGAGGAGGCGCTGGGCCTCCCTCGCTGGCGAGCGGAGCGCGCCAGGGGCGGCGCCAGAGGCGCCACCGAGCGGGACCCGGCGCCGAACCGAGGAATCCGCGCGGACCTGCGAGGAGTAGTGTTTGTGCAGCTTTTTCTGCTCCGAGTGCCACTTCGATATCCTTCTCCGCCCTGGCCATCGCCGCCACGGGATCCTCTACCTGACTGGCCCACCAAGGGGTCAAACATCATATTACGGGCCTGCGGTAGTATGATGTTACCTTCCTGGGCCTGATGATGATGATGATGGCGCTGGCGATGATGATGCTAGTGATAGCGATGACGATGATCGTGGTGATGGTGATGATGTTGATGCCTTGTCCTCGTCCCCATCGTCATCGTCTTCCTTTCTCCTCGTTCTTATCATCGCCCTCGTCCTCTCTGGCTGCTCACCATTCTCCTTATACTCCCCCTCCTCTCCCCTCCCTCATCCTGCATCTAACCCCTCCTCCTCATGCTCCTCCTCCTCCTGCTCCTCCTCTTCCGCGGATGTCCATCCTTATTATCCAACCCCTCCCCCAACCTGCATCATCCAACCTTCCTCAGCCTTTAGTTAAAAATCATGAATTACCGCCGAAAAGTGAACAGGACCACCCATAACATTTAACAGGACCATGCAAAAAATAAACAGGACCGCAAGGAAAATAAACAGGGCCACAAAGAGACTAAACAGACTAACCGAAAATGAAACATAACCAAGCAAAACACTAAACAGGACCACAGAGATACCAAACAGGACCACCCCAAAAAGCAAACAGGACCACGCAACAAGTAAACAAGACCAGAAGAAAACGAAACAGGACCACGGAGAAACTAAACAGGACCACCCCACAAGTAAAGAGGACCACGCAACAAGTAAAAAGACTACAGAAAAACACCAAACAAGACCACCCTCAAAATGAAGCAGGACCACGCAACAAGTAAACAGGACCACGAAAGAAGTAAACAGGATCACAAAGAAACTAGACAGGACCACAACGAACAGTAAGCAAGACCACGCAGAAAGTAAACATGACCGGGAGAAAACTAAACAGGACCACAGAAAAGCTAAACATGACCACCCCCCAACAAAAACAGGACAACGCAAAAAGTAGACAGGACCATCAGAAAAAGTACACAGGACCACAACGAAACTAAACAGGACAACCCCAACAAGTAAACAGTACCAGGAGAAAACTAGACAGGACCACAGAGAAACTAAACAGGGCCACACGAAACAATAAACATGACCACGCGACAAGTAAACATGACCAGGAGAAAGCTAAACAGGACCACAGGACAAAACAAAACTTTACAGACCCACGCCAGAAAGTAATCAGGACCACGGAACAACTAAACAGGGCCAGGAGAAAACTAAACAGGACCACAAGAAACTAAACAGGACCATCCCCCAAAAAGACAGGACCACGCAAAACTATACAGGACAACGAAACAATTAAACAAGGCCGCAGAGAAACTAAACAAAATCACCACAAACAGTAAACAAGACCAATAGAAAACTAAACATGACCACAACGAAACTGAACAGGACAACCCGGAAAACTATACAGGACCACGCGAAAAGTAACCAGGACCTGGAGAAAACTAAACAGGACCACGGAGAAACTAAATAGGACCACGTGAAAAGTAGCCAGGACCTGGAGAAAACGAAACAGGACCACGGAGAAACTAAAGAGGACCACCCCCAAAAAAGTAAACAGGACAACAGAATAACTAAACAGGACCACCCTCAAAATGAAGCAGGGCCACGCAACAAGTAAACAGGACCACGAAAGAAGTAAACAAGACCACAAAGAAACTACGCAGTACCACAACGAACAGTAAGCAGGACCACGCAAAAAGTAAACCGGACCAGGAGAAAACTAAGCAGGACCACGGAAAAGCTAAACAGGACCACCCCCCAACAAAAACAGGACAACGCAAAAAGTAAACAGGACCGCGCGGAAAGCACACAGGACCACAACGAAACTAAACAGGACAACCCCAACAAGTAAACAGTACCAGGGGAAAACTAAACAGGACCACGGAGAAACGAAACAAGGGCACGCGAAAAAATAAACATGACCACGAGATAAGTAAACATGACCAGGAGAAAGAGAAACAACACCACAGAAAAAAAAAACTATACAGACCCACGCCGGAAAGTAATCAGGATCACGAAAAAACTAAACAGGGCCAGGAGAAAACTAAACAGGACCACAAGAAACTAAACAGGACCACCCCAAAAACAACAGGACCACGCAAAAAGTAAACAGGACCACGAATCAACCAAACAATACCAGAGAGAAACACAACAGGACCACCCCAAAAAGTAAACAGGACCAATAGAAAACTAAACGTGACCACAACGAAACTAAACAGGACCACCCAGAAAAACTATACAGGACTACGCGAAAAGTAAACAGGACCTGGAAAAAACCAAACAAGACCACGGAGAAACTAAACAGGACCACGCGACAAAGTAAACATGACCACGCAAAAAGTAAACAGGACCTGGAGACAACCCAACAGGACCACAGAGGAACTAAACAGGACCACGCGACAAAGTAAACAGGACCACGCGACAAGTAAACAGGACCAGGAGAAAACTAAACAGGACTACCCAGGGAAGTAAACAGAACCACTCCAAATAGTAAACAGGGCCACGAACAAACCAAACATGACCACAGAAAGGCTAAACAGGACCACCCCAAAAAGTAATCAGGGCCACGAAAAAAATACAGGACCACGGAGAAACTCAACATGACCACCCCAAAAAATAAACAGGACCACGCAAAAAAAGTAAACCGGACCAGAAGAAAACGAAACAAGACCACGGAAAAACTGGACAGACCCACCCGCGAAAAAACAAACAGGACCACGCAACACAATAAACATGACGATGCAACAAGTAAACAGGACCACGGAGCAACTAAACAGGACCACCCCAAAAAGTGAACAGGACCACGCAAACAATAAACAGGACCACAAGAACACCCAACAGGACCACCTCAAAAAGCAAGCAGGAACACGCAACAAGTAAACAGGACCACGCGAAAACTAAATAGGACCTTTCACTGATGATAGGATAGGATAGGATAGGACGGCACCGAGGACGCATGTCCGCGGTTGGAGGGCCTTACCCGCTGAGCGCAAATAAAATCTGAAGGGTGCCTCCATCAGGAGGTTTTTATTGGCGCTGCCGAGAAGGGCGATATCCGTCGGCAGGCCCACGACAGGAGCACACCTTCAGGAACGGTGGGGCTCGACAGGAGACCCACCGATCCGAACAAAGGATGCCGTGCTGTGCTATGCCCCACGCACCGCACAGCCTGGCAGTGCAAGAGCCTTAAAGGAGCAACGAACATGTAACGAAATTCGACTCCCAAAGAGCTGTGGGACCACACTTGTGGTCCCACCTTCGAAAACTGTATCTCCAAACGAGACCGTGCACTCAATAGATGTAGCTCCAAACGAGACACTGCTATCAACGGATGTACCTCGAACGACTCACTGTTTTCGATAACTGCATCTCAAACGACACACGTGCATCAATGAACGTAGCTCCAAAACAGGCACTCCCAGGAATGGATGTCGTGTGATGTCGTAGTAGTAGTAGTAGTAGTAGTAGTAGTAGTAGTAGTAGTAGTAGTAGTAGTAGTCGTCGTCGTCGTCGTCGTCGTCGTCGTCGTCGTCGTCGTCGTCGTCGTCGTCGTCGTCGTCGTCGTCGTCGTCGTCGTCGTCGTCGTCGTCGTCGTCGTCGTCGTCGTCGTCGTCGTCGTCGTCGTCGTCGTCGTCGTCGTCGTCGTAGTAGTAGTAGTAGTAGTAGTTAGTAGTAGTAGTAGTAGTTAGTAGTAGTAGTAGTAGTCGTAGTCGTAGTCGTAGTAGTAGTAGTAGTAGTAGTAGTAGTAGTAGTAGTAGTAGTAGTAGTAGTAGTAGTAGTAGTAGTACTAGTAGTAGTAGTGTAGTAATAGTAGTAGTAGTAGTAGTAGTAGTAGTAGTAGTAGTAGTAGTAGTAGTAGTAGTAGTAGTAGTAGTAGTAGTAGTAGTAGTAGTAGTAGTAGTAGTAGTGGTAGTAATAGTAGTAGTAGTAGTCGTAGTAGTAGTAGCAGTAGTAGTAGTAGTAGTAGTAGTAGTAGTAGTAGTAGTAGTAGTATGGGCACGGACTCGTAAGACCTGAGTATCCACCGGGGTGCTCGGCGAAACCATTGATGATGATGTGATGATTGAGGGCGATGATGGGATGATGACCGCGCTCCTTCGATGTGTTTTGTCTGTCTTTCTCGGGTCTCCAACCAACTCTTAGAAAACATCTTGCAAACGGAAGAGGAGCACGCCGAGGAGCGGCGTGCGAAGCAGACAGCCGGCAAAACCTGCAGGCTGAGAAGCACCGCAGAAACTCGCAGGCTGAGAAGCACCGCGGCCGCGCAGTCCTACTACTGCTGCAACTAGTATTACAAGACCGCAGGTTGAGAAGCACCGCGGGCACGCGGGCTTGGATACTTCACCTCTCCTGCTCGTCTTGCAGGAAATCGCGCCAATCCGGCGGCTGCCAAGTATCGATGATGCGCCGGGACCCACCGCCCGTGCTGCCGCCGATGTCCAGGTAGTCCCCTCGCGCGGTACGCAGGCGGCCATGTCCTAGCGCCAGAATCGCCTTGTTTCGGTTGGCTAGCAACTCGCCGCTCTCCCACTTCTGCAGCACGTCCAACTGCCTGCGCGTGAAAGTGGGCACCTCCTGGCCATGGCCCGCAGGCTGAGTAGCACCGCGACGCTGGAGCTCTTGCCGATGGCGGGCGAGCCGGTCACCCTCGTTGTAGCGCGCGATGGCTTCAGCCTTGTCGTGGTGGAGGCGGCGGCGCTGTTCGTGGGAAACTTCGTCACGAGCGGGTGGCTCTGCGGTTTCATCACTGGGTTCGACGTGCAAGGCTTGGCGGAGCATGTCAACGTCGAAGCGGCCGGAGAAGGCCAGCACCTCCCAGATCTGTTTTGTGCCGCAAACGCGTTGCAGATGCCGGCACCAGCGCTTGCGCTTCTGGTCTCTGAGGAACTTGGTGAGGCTCCCTTTGCCTGCCCCTTGGGCCTGGCCACCTTTTCCCGCAGGCTGAGGACCACCGCGAGAACCTTTGGTGCCGCCCGGTCCTTTGCTCGCAGGCTGAGGATCACCGCGAGAACCTTGTGG